CGTTAGCCTTTATTTAACAATCCAGCGATACGAACCGGAGGATTTGGCAAATCCGGACGAGGGTTCAAGGATAACCGTAACAATACGTTATCGCAAAAACCGGAATGAAAAACAATGCCCATTTCAAAAAAAAAAAAATTGAAAAGAAAAAAAAAATGAGAATATATATATATACAGTGGTGGAAGAAATAATAGAAAGTTTTTACTTCGACCAGTTTTGGCTATATTGCTTTGTTTATTCGATGTTTAATATTCTTGTATAAAAGGCTAGGGCAATATATAACACACACCATATAAATCCACATTTCAAAGTTTGTACAAAAATTATAAAAACTCAACAAATCTTATCAAAATCCCCCAAAAATTTCAAACTTTTCAATCAGATTTTTTTGAAAAATTTTGGGTATGCAGTTTTATAGCCCATTAAATTTTAGTAGGTAAAACTGCAAACCGCAAGCCGCTAGAAAATCGCGTTGATTTTTAATAATTTATTTGGCTGGCGGTGTTGTGCATTTTCTTCCATATAAAGTATGCTCGACCATGCTCAAAATTTCTTTTTATATGGAAGGAAATTTCTAGCAGCGTCAGCAAACAAAAAAATATTAAAAATCAATGCGATTTTCTAGCGTCTTGCGGTTTGCACTTTTACCTCCTAAAATTTAATGGGCTATGAAACTGCATACCCAAAATTTTTCAAAAAAATCTGATTAAAAAGTTTGAAATTTTTGGGGGATTTCGTTAAAATTTGTTGAATTTTTATAATTTTTGTACAAACTTTGAAATATGGTGTGGGTGATATATAGCGCTAGACTTTTATACAAAAACATTAAACATCGAATAAACAAAGTAATATAGCCAAAACTGGTCAAAGTAAAAAGTTTCTATTATTTCTTCCACCACTGTATATATATATATATATATATATATATATATATACATATCAATTTATATATATAGATGTAAATGTTGGTGAAAAAATTTAAAATTTAGCCAAATTAACAAAAATACCAAAAAAAAATTGGGGAAAAAAATTTAGTTCATATGTGTTGTCATGTACATACATATGTACCTTCTCACCGAAGGTCATTGCAAGGTTACAAACCGATTCGAAAATCAAGCAAAAGCAAGCAAGCAAAAAAGTATGACAAATCCATAGCAAAATGGAAATCAAAAACTTAACGGACCAATATAGGCGGATGTGGTGGAATCGGAACATATGAATTGGACCAATAATAAGCAAAAGGAGGGAATAATTAGTAAGTACCTATGTTAATACTAATTCAAGAACAATTTAGTTGGAATTCATGGGTGATGCAAATTACCGAGAGATTTTTAAGTAAAAAAATCATAATTCGAATCTTATGTGAACTAAACCAAATATCCTAAATCTAAGGGTGTTCCTCTTCCGGCTCTGTTCATGGCGCTGCGGGTATCGTTGGCACTGCTCTCCGTTTATTCAGCCCACTCACCAGCCGCTGGCTATCCTCCTACGTCGATTGTTCCTGATATTTTTATGTCAATACGTAGTCGCTGACTCCAATGCTGAGTATATGTGGCAACCTTCCCAATTCCAATAACTTAAGTTAACATCTGGCAACCCCGGCGCTTACTCATAAGCAGTTACTTGTACTCATATAATTTTTTCACTCACTCAGAATTTCTTCTTAGATGACATGCCAAAGGGTTCGCACGTGCTTGCAAACATTGTAATTTTTACATTAATAAAAAAGGCAATTTTTTAGTAAATACCGCCGATTTTTATTATTTATCAATATCGCTTCATTGGTGACCCCGACGCGAGACTTAAGCCAAAGTTGTTTATACCTTAAACCAGGGGTTCTTAAACTTTTAAAATGATGGAACCCTTGCTAACCACATTTCATTTTATGGAAAGCCACATCAAATTACTAAAAATAAAAGGCAGAGCAATTTAAATATGAATAAAAACGTTTACTAGAAATAGTATACATACTTTAAATTTTAATGTGAAGATTCAAATTGTTTCACTGTTAGTAATTATTGTATAAAATAGCAGTTCGATATAATGTCTGAAAGCTGTATGCGCATTTCTGGGGTATCATCCAATTTCGACCTGAATCTGTTTTTTGTTTAAGTGTAAGCTGAAACCCTTGTTGAGAGAGTACGTTGTGACAGAAGGAAGCGAAGTCAAGATAGCCTTTTTAGCGACTTCATGATATTTACTCTTAACACTAACCCAAAACTCTTTCAGAGACACAGATTCAAATGTGTGTTACAATGGCGAAATACTCTGGAGATCTATGAATGCTTCGTAAATGGATTTTGAACCAAACCGGTATTACTACTACCATCCGAAAAATAATCTGACAAAGATTTCAGTTGATTCACCAAGTGCCCAGTTATGACATTTCACATTTCATTTGGGAATTCGTTGCGTTCCTTCTAGACAGTTGTATATAACCCTTTGGCTACAGCGGCCAACCACACATACCGGTTAGAAAAAAAACAAGCTGCCAAGGGCAAGCTCACCGTTCTTATGTAGGTATGGCACTCAGTATGGCAATCATATGTACCAACTTCGAGTACATACGTATACTTGAAAAAAGATAATTGCGTCTCGGCCAAGCTGTTTACATATAGAAGTTTTCTTTCTGTGTGCAACTCAAACCGACCACCGTGCTTATTCATACCAAAATTAATTGCGCGGAACCCCGGGGACTTTTCTACGGAACCCTTGGGTTTCGCGGAACACACTTTAAGAAGCTCTGCCTTAAACTACGCGAAATTCATAATATTTTAGTATTTCCATACGTAGTAGCCTTAGTTGCGATCCGACCAAGTAGATATATATTTTTTCATCCACGCGCATCAAACAAAAAAAGGTAATATGCGGCCTTTCAGCAGGAGTCCAAGAATCCGGCATACAATAACTTTGGCGACGGCGGTTGTATTTTTTCAAAATTTTGCGTATTCGAAAAAGGCAGCAGGTAGTCTAAATGATGCGAAGTACTCCACTCACAAGCGCCGACCCCGGCTCATCGACCCACTTAATGACGTCCTTACCAATTACTACAAATATGACCGTCCGCGCGCCGCCATTCTCTACTGAGCGACCTGCATTGTGGTTCGCCCAGCTGGAATCCCAATTTCGGAACCGATCCGTTTCCAACGAAAACGACATGTTCCACCACGCAGTTTCGCTGATCGACACCCAGTCAGCAGCGGAGGTGGAGGCTATAATTTTGAATCCTTCAACACCAACGCCATACACGCTGTTGAAGCAGACCCTAATAGAGCGGTTAACTAAATCTAAAGATGCAAAATTACTACATCTTTTGAATGACGAGGAAATAGGTGAACGCACGCCATCACAATTCTTTCGCCATTTACGCAGTCTTTGTCCAGACGTACCAAATAACGTCATCAAAGCTAGATGGCAGTCTCAGCTATCCCCACAAACACGTGCTTGTTTAGCAGCGCAGCCTGACGCTTCCTCGGAAGACCTCAGTCGCCTCGCAGACAAAATTCATGAAGTAATTCCTAGCGAATCGCAATCCATATCCACAGTCTCGGCAGATCAATCACTACTTGGCGAAATAGCTGAAATTTGCAAACAACTCCTGGCGTTAAATATGAGGAACTCGCGCAGCCGTACTAGACAAAAAAGTCTGCAATAGCGTGGGAAACGTTACCACTCACGCAGTCGCGCGCGCTTGTCGACAAACGGTCTCTGCCATTATCACAAAAAGTTTGGCACCGAAGCGCGGCGCTGCCTACCAGGCTATAAGTTTACGGGAAACGTGAAAGAGGATCAATAGAGGCGGTAAAAGATCCTCCTAAAACATCTTCACACCGCCTTTTCCTAACAGATCGATCCTCTGGCATCCACTTCCTATTGGACACAGGTGCCGATCTATCAATTTTCCCTCGCTGTCTAATAAAAACAAACGTGACCCCAGTTGGATATCAATTATACACACCAAAAGATTCAACAATCGAAACGTACGGACACCACACGCTTACGCTCGATCTCGGTCTGAGACGAGATTTTGCTTGGCGTTTCATTATCGCCGACGTTACGAAGCCACTTATTGGTGCCGACTTTATAAGCCACTTTGGTTTACTTGTCGATTAGAAAAACCAACCAATTCGAGACGTAAAATCTGGAATAATGACTCACGGAAAAGTACGCAATACGGATCACATTTCGTCAATTAAAGCTATTCTAAATCAATCCCCCTATGGCGCTCTTTAAAGAGAATTTACAGCAATCACCCAATCAGACCGGGTATTTAAAGTAACAAAGAACGCAACCATTCGCTGTAAAAACCACAGATGGCCTGCCTGTATCAAGCAAGGCACGATGACTCGCACCACATAATCTTAAAGTAGCGAAAGAGGAGTTCGCCAAAATGATAAAATTGGGTATTGCCCGACCTTCTGACAGCCCATGGTCGTCACCACTCCATTTAGCTCCCAAGAAATCAGGCGAATCCCGACCTTGCGGTGACTACCGGCACCTTAATGATCGGACGGTGCCCGATCGGTATCCCGTCAAATACCTGGATGATTTTGGTGCTAACTTGTACAAGAAAACCATTTTCACCACCATCGATCTTGTCAGGACGTTCAACCAAATCCCAGTCGCCAATCAAGATACCGAGAAGACTGCAATTATCACCCCTTTCGGATTATTTGAGTTTCCGTTTATGGCATTCGGCTTGAAAAATGCGGCCCAAACGTTTCAACGTTTCATAGATGAAGTCACTCGAGATTTTCCGTTTGTATTTGCATACATCGATGATTTGCTTATCGCCTCAGAAAACGAGCAACAACATGTATGCAATTTAAAAACATTGTTTCAGCATCTTCAGGACTACGGTCTAGTTATTAATGTGGCTAAGTCATCTTTTGGTCAACCGGAAGCAAAATTTCTCGGACACCAAATTACAAGAAGTGGTATAAAACCTCTTCCTGAGAAGGTCAGTGCCATACGAGAGCTAACATTACCAACAACTGTCAGGAAGCTACGCGATTTCATTGGCATGGAGAATTTTTATCGTAAATTTATTGAAAACCCTGCAGACCTTCTCGCACCACTGAATAAATCAAAAGCAGGCCCAAAGTTAAAGGATCCCAGCCTGTACTGTGGACACAATCACTAAAAGACTGATTCGAGCAATGCAAACAGGCACTTGGGAACTGCGCCGAGCTAACGCATCCAAATGTCAATACCGACTTGGCAATCTTTACAGATGCCTCCAACTCGGCTATCGGAGCTGTCTTACGACAGCGAGTAACAAATTCCTGGGAGCTACTCGCATTCTTTAGTCGAACGCTACCAGAATCAATACGCAAGCTCTCCACGTACGATCGCGAATTATGTAATCGGGCAAGATAATATTGTGGCGGATACTCTATCGCGTGTCGAATCAATCTCAGCTAAGGTATCAGCGCAGCAGCTAGCAGCTGCTCAACACAACGACTCAAAGCTTCAACAGCTTCTCACTGCTCCCAATCCGACTCTTCATCTGAAAAGGTTGCATTTCCCTGAGCACAACGTTAGTTTATACTGCGATATCTCGAGAAGTGCCGTTCGTCCATTCGTCGCCGTTCCGTTGCGCAGAGCGGTGTTCGACTCCCTTTATTCTCTTTCGCACCCCGGAGTAAGGTGCTCACAGAAACTTCTGACTAGCTCTTACATTTGGCCAGCTATCTACAAGGATTGTCGCGAATGGACGAGTTCCTGCATGGAATGCCAACGCAATAAAATCCAACGACGCGTTGTAACTCCTCCTGCAAGAATCCAATTACCATCTCAACGTTTCGAACATATTCACGTCGATCTCATATCGTTACCATCTCCAAAACGCTTTCGCCAATGCTTAACTATAATTGACCGTTTTACGCGCTTTCCGGAGGCGATACCATTGGAAAATGGCAACACCGAAACAATTACACGTGTCATTGTTTTTCATTGTATAGCTAGATACGGCGTCCCACTTAGGATTACATCAAATCGTGGGGGCCAGTTTGAATCAGCTTTGTTTCGGCAGCCTTCCCAGTTTTTCGGTATCAGCCATTTAAAGACGACACCATATCATCCGTAGGCCAACGGACTTGTTGAGCGCCTGCATAGACAGCTGAAGTCAGCATTGTTGTGCCATAACGACACTTGGTTTGATGTTTTACCTATTGTTTACGCGTTTACGCGCTTCTTGGAAAAATTATATCAAAACAACGCCTGCGGAATTGGTATATGGTGAGCCAATCAGACTTCCTGGTAAATTCATCAACCCAGCTAGTAAAGAACTGACAGCATACGGATTGCTTAATCACCTTAAAAGCCACTTCCATAAGTTAGCACCCGCCGATACGTCACAGCATGGCAAACGTCCTGTGCTTCGTTTTAGGGATCTGGACACTTGCACTCACGTGTTCGTTCATCAAGGTCAAATCGGTCCGTCATTTTCAGCACCATATCAAGGCCCATTTCCGGTTATCTTTCGTCATGGCAAATATTTCTACGTTGCTATTCAAGGAAAATCTACACCAGTATCCGTAGACCGACTCAAACCCGTCTACGAACTTCTGCAAGATCCAATTCCCATAGGCTGGTGGATATTCCTGGTTCAGGGCAGAATATTTGTGTGTGTGCGTGCGTATCTAACGCTCCTTATACGCTTTTTACTCCGATACGGATGTTACATCCGCGTTCAAAAGTACTCCCGTACAAGTCGACGTCCTTTTCCAATCACTTGGCTGGCGACCTGTAATTAAGGGGGGTATATTAAATACTTTAATAGGACCTTAGAGTTGCGGCGCTCTCGCTAGTTAGCACTTATGTAGGTATGTGCATATACACATGAGGGCTTTAGGGCCTATATGTATGCGCATACGGAGAGATGAGTTGGCATTAGGAGCTAAATATACACGTTTACTTACCTCGAACTCCAATCCTTTCAATCCTAAGCGAGTATCAGTGAGGATCCGCTCGTCGTCTGGCGGTATATTTGCGGAACCGCTATGGATACACCGTTCTTTGCTGCTTATTCCTTTTTTTAATGCAATATAGCCGCGTACTTTCACAATTTAACTTCAACTATGGTTTTAAATGCACCCACGGGCTTAACGTCACCACTTTAATAATGCCGTTGGCTACGGTCAGCTCCCTTTATACGGGTGATTAAGCCGAGTAAGTTACTCATGCCTCATCCGCTCGGGCATGATCAAAGGTTCTATTCCTAATTCACACACATACACTCGCACACTCTCATACTACCCCTGCAGAAAATCTGACTAGCGTAGAACTAGACCTTTTGCCGACAGTACCAGTTCTAGCTCAATACCCAAGCAATGCTTTCAACTGTCTAGTTTTACACGGCGATGTCATTGGCGCAGGCAATTGTCGCCCAGTTCATTACTTTGCAACCAGTTTTTAACCGGTTCCATTTTGGACAGTTTTTTTTTATAAGAAAACGTTTTTGCGAGTCGATTTTTAAATTTTTTTCGTTTTTTCTGTTATTTTACAGATTCCGTTTTTGTTACATATTTTATTAAAAAAAAATATTGTAAGCTGCACGCAACAATTTAAATTCATTAAATTTGCAAACTCACAATTACCTCCACCGCGATTTGAACTCGCGACCAACGTTGGTTGAGTCGGAGGTCTTCTCGCCGAGCTACTTTCATATTGTACGAGTAGTGATAAGTTGCACATATACACCGCAAGTTTCAACTGTCCCGCTCTGCATTCCTTTTGCACTAGTTCAGAGTTAGTTCTCGGATAAGTAGTTCGGAACTAGCGCTTTGTCAGACTGTCTCTAAATTTTACTGCAGGGACTTTATGGAGCCATTAAGCAATGTTGCGCACACATACACACGCGCATTCTCATACTGCCCTGCAAAAATTTGAGGACCAGGTGGTCCACTGGGTCGTAGTTTTCAAATATGTGCAAAAGGACCAGGTTGCATACTAGTAACTTGTTATGCTTACCTGGACCACTTCAAACGTAAAAAACTGATATATGTGTTGAGAACCACCTCTTCGTGCCCCATCGGCAACATGATTCGGTTGCCGAATGTGGCATGGTCCAAAAGGAGTAGTTGTCTAGGTGGTCCCATGTTATGCAGCGTTGGACCAGAGGTGGTCAAGTCCAATGACATCGTAATGTTAATGTAACCATATTTTCTCCATATATTTGGACCATTTTGGTTACTAGTGTTGGTTACAAGGTAGCGTGGTCCTGTACTAGTATTTAACCTAGTCCCACTTTTTGCAGGGTGCTTCATCGAGTCATCAAACAATGTTGCGTGTCTTGTCGAGACCACATGATGCCAATCGGTTCCGACACAATGTTCACAGCACTTCTGCAACAACATGGCTGCCACGTACACACTAACACATGCTGCGTGCACTTCCGCTCAAGTAAAGGCCGGCGCATCAGGCTCGCAACCGCCGGTAGTGCCTGAACATGGAGCGTGTGCGTAAAAGAGTTATCAATGTCTTGTTGTGTTTGTTGCGTCCAACGTGTGGCGTCGACCCACGGCTCTTATCCGGGAAATTGCTGTCCTTGTTTATGGGCATAATCACACACATTTAAAGACGAAATCACGGGTCTACTTCTACTTTTACCTTTCCTTATACTACACCCGAGGTAAAATTACTAAACAAATA